TTTTGAGTCAGAATTACAGAGGGTTACTTCTCTAACAGTGTTTGGGCAAAGTAAGAAAAGCATTCAATATTGGTTAGGGTCTTCTGGCTAATGAGCTGTTCTGTCTTAAAGTTTTTTAGATCATGTTTCATTATTGTTGACACTGAGTTGTTGATTGATAGATTAAGAAAAAGCAGATAAAGGAAAACTTATATTATTATAAATTATCACAATAATTAAATTACGGCTGATAAATTATCTGTAATAATGATCAATTATTTTGAATGCTTATGCAAAACAATTAATAGGCTTTATGCTTTCTAAAAGCTGAAGTACGTTTGTGAAGTTTTCTGATGAGCTTTACTGGAAAAAATAGCTAACCATAAACAACAAGTAGCTAAGGCTATATTTCCATCACCACCTAACCCCTAAATGCTCCCGGAACACTGCATTTGCATATCTATAAGCCTTATGTGTGCATGATTGTATTTCAGGCCTCTGTGTGTGTAAATATAGAGTGAAAAAAGAAAAGTATATCTTCATATACCATCTTCCTAAATCAAAATGAACACTCCTACAATTGGTCTGTATTTGAAAAATCAAACACAGGAAAAAAGAAAGCAATCATACTGTCTCTTACTATCAGGATCTTACCATGGCTAGTCATTAGGTGAAATACCTCTCCTGAAACTGTGATTGATGGCCTACCAGTCTGATGAAGTGAGTAGTGAATAGAGGGTCAAGTTGGAAGTCAGCACTTGGAGTTTATGGTTACTGAGTCCTTTAAAATCCAATGTGAGGGAGGACAGAGAACTCAGAACTCTCCTAATGCTTACTGACTTAACTGTAGCTGCATACAGTGTAGACCTGTTGCAGTTAATCGTGACAAGACTAATGTTCATTTCTTTTTTGTGTAGCCAGTACAGCTTGGCTATGAAAGCAGTAGGGGAATAAGCTATTAAAACTCAATCAAAAGTTACAAAATTGTACACCTTTTCCTTTCATCAACTATTTGTTTCACATATCTACCAATAGAAATGTAAAAAGGGGAAACTGTGGTATATGCAACAGTTACACTTTGGAGCTACTTCTTGACCAACAGCAGACATATGTCTTTTAGTCTCTTTTAGGAGGGAGGGGGACTTGTCCATGCCTTCCTGTTGGCATTCCCAGCTAGCACTGTTATTTATGCAACAAATCACCTTCATTCCCACCCTACATCCAAACTGCCAGAGTCATTATTGACTAGGTTACATTTGATGTGCAAAACAGCCTGGCTGACCTCCCAGTGAGTATTGTCCCTATAAGTTGGGGACATTCACAAAAGCTCACATCTTTCCTCTTAAGTTTCCAAAATGGCTCTGCACTTTTTTTATCCCTAAGACTGAGTTTCACACAAAGCAACCTTCTCATATCTGTTAGGTAGGCATCTATTTTCCTTCACATATTCAGTTGTGCCAAATGAACTCCAATTATTATTAAACCAATTAGTTGAAAGTTGAAAGGACTTGACTGTATTTTCTTTATGTAATATCCTGAATAATGATGTGTTATTGATGCCTGGACCAACAGGATACACTAGATGATCAAGTTCACACAATGCAGTGTATAGTAAACTCCATGCTCAGTGTTAACATCACCATAGTCCTGGGCCAGTGCAGCTTTCAGGTCAGCCAGTCAGTCTGGCAGTACACTCTTGCGCTCCCTATTTATTTCAGCAGTCAGCTCAAATTGCAAGTTTAGACCACTAAGAAAAGCATGGAAAGGCAATAACAGCTGTTCAATGTAAGCTTTCTTCTATCTGGTAGTAGTCTACTGCAGGACAAAGACTGATGCTGCTTCTGCCTGCTGTCCCACTGTCCAGTACCATTTCCTTGATGCTGTTCAAACTACATGTAACAGTCACCTTGTGTCCTGGTTGAAAGGATATGCATACTTTACACCCCTATTGCTCTTTAATATATAGATCTTTTTGTCCCTACTTACTACCTACTGTTTCCACTAAGCCAGAATTTTTCACACCTAAAACTGGGTTCGCACCCTGCTAATGGGTAAAAAAAAAAATAAAGTTATGTGGGTGTTTAGTGGATAATACATCTATGGGGTGTTTAGGGGTGAATACCTAGATCAGGAGGTACCGTTACACAGTAAGAAGTAAGGGCACTCAGGTGGACAAAAATCAAGTGCCAGTATTAAGTACTGGCTAATGTACAAAAAAAGAAATTCAATTAATCTTATTTTGTCTTCTGGACTTTTGTGTATCTATCAATACAAAATTAGTTGCTACCAGCAGCTGCAGTTAGTTAGTGTTTGTCTGAATGTGTCACCAGGGAGAGTCAGAATATGGTTCTTTCTTGAAGCTAACACTAACATCATGTACTGAAATCAACGTGTGCCTGGTTAAAAAAAGCGACAACTAGATGTATGGTCCTTCACTGTTCTAATCCATCTCACTTCTCTCTGTGACCTTCTCCTTCGCCTCCCTTCTTTCAGTGGGCAACAGTGACCTTCCATCTTCCCCACCACGTGCTGAAGCTAGTGGCCAGTGCCATCGTCAATGAGCTGAAGAAGATCAACCAGAACGTAGCTGCCTTGTCTGTGGCCTCATCCATCATGGACAGGCTCTCCTACCTCTTGTCAAGCGCCAGGCCTGAGCTCGGGGTTGGCCCCGGCCGCTCTGTAGATAGGTGAGCAAGCAGGAAAACAAATGATCATTTGTTTTTTGAAGAAGCAAACAACCAAACAATAAAACCGTTAAAGGTCCGGTGTGTTTTGTTACCTTTTTAGAATGAGACGTTTTTATCTACAGTGGGATGGGAGTCTGTGATGTTGAACCACTGTGTTGCTACAGTAGCCCATAACGAACAAGCCAAATTATGGCTCTATATAGGGTCTGAGCTGTATTCAGATGGAGGGGCGCAGCTGTGGCTCAGAGGCAGGGGTTGTTCGATCCCTGGCTCCTCCCGCCACATGTCGAAGTATCCTTGAGCAAGATACTGAACCCCGAATTGCTCCTGATGCTGTGCGTGTTGTGAATGAATGTGAATGTGTATGAATGAGTTAGTTTCTGTTTGATGGGCTTTGCCATCACTGAGTAAATGTGTGTGAAAGGGCAAATGTGGCATTAGGTGTAAAGCGGCTTTGGGGATTGGTTGGAAGGGACTAGAAAGCGCTTATACAAGTACAGGTACATTTACCAACTTCACCACTAGAAAATGTTTAAATAGCATTTTGGCATGAATTATGGTTCTTGAGGGGTATATGGATATGTTATCCATGATACGCAACATGCATTTGACAAAGATTTCACACATAGTCCAGCACAGAATTTAAAAAAAATATATGTTCCAGACTAGCATGCAGAATACTGGGCATTTTTCTAAAATGTGATATGCTCTACAGATCTTTGATGTACAGTGAGGCCAACAGAAGGGAGACATTTACATCGTGGCCACATGCTGGGTACAGGTGGGCTCAGCCTGATCCAATGGCTCAAGCAGGATTTTACCACCAGGTAGGTACTGAGAGAATGTAACCATGGTGACAGCTCTTGTTAAAACCTTGGTGTAATGCCAACAACCCAATGCATCATCAGTGTCTGTGTGAAGGAACAATAAATGTTAATGTTGCCATTAGCAACAACTTAAAATGTACAATAGTGTAATATCAATGCTGGATGTGTTAGATATATTTTCTTTCCAGGATAAATGTGGACAGTGGGAATTGTAGCTTGGGAAGTGTTTGTAATCTTCATTGATCTTCCTACAGCCTGCCTCAACAGGGGACGACAGAGCCATGTGTTTCACCTGCAGTGTGTGCCTGGTCTGTTGGGAACCAACAGATGAGCCGTGGTGAGTGGAGATCATTAACTATGCTTTAATTGTGCTACTGTGACATATCAGGGAGCGCACACACAGAGGTGCAGATCTATGTGAGAATCAGTGCAAGTCCATTCAAATGAAAACATTTGAACAACAACACAGAACAGTTGTTGTTCTGGGTGTAAATAAAGGCAAGGACGTTGAAAAGGTTTGGTGAATAAAGCATTTTGGACTGGAGAAGAGTTGACTATTACTATCAATGATGCATAACATTTCTTCACTGCTCCCCAGGTCCGAACACGAGCGACATTCTCCCAATTGTCCATTTGTGAAGGGCGAACACACACAGAATGTGCCACTGTCGGTGACACTGGCGACCAGTCCTGCCCAGTTTCCCAACAGCCCCGACAGTTCGGACAAGATCGCCTGCTACGGCTTCGGTAGCTGCCCACAGTTCCTTGCGGCCGCCACCAAGAGGGGCAAGATCTGCATCTGGGATGTCTCCAAAATGATGAAGGTCAGAGCATCAATCTGTGCATGCATAAGATGGTATGGTCTGTCTTGTGTTTCACTTTCAGAGATGGGGGTGTCATTCATTATATTTTTTGAAAGTATTGACCTCAGATTAAAGAGTGTGTGATTATGTGCTGAACAGGTGCACTTGAAGTTTGACATCAACCCATACGACCCAGCCATCCTCAGGCAGCTGATATTGTGTGGTAGCGAGCAGAGCCAGCAGACACTCACTGAGTCTCGGAGACCAACTCTTGCCTGGCTCGAGGAGTCGTCCTCCTGCTCTGACCTGCCCAAGCTAGAGGGAGACAGGTGAAACACATCACTCACATCAAATTCCCACGAGCATACACAGAGTGCAAAACAAAATTCTCACAGTAAGCCCCTTAGCACTCTCCGCAGCCACTCTATATTGACTAGAGTTATAAGCCAATAATTTGCCTGCGCAGTGTTGTCTACCGATCCACACTTTACTGGGATCTACTTCCATTTGAAATCCAGAAGAACACATAAATAATGCAAACAACCTGAAGGTGCCACATAACAACAAGTCCTTGAGGCAGAGGTTGCTGTGGCAACATGTAAACCATGGTCCACAGCATAGAAAGTATCACAGGTAAACTAAACTGAACTAAACTTCAGTGTAAAGAAAGTGCAGGGAAGCCATTATAAGTACTGCTAACATTTATCACCTGAAACAGCCAGTGGATAACTCATGCCACCAAATGATCTTTTGACAAAAAACAGCAACAACAACAACGGCAACACCAGTTTGGATGACTTGAGAGGGAGGGGCCACATACTGTGACACAGCCACTCTGTAGGAATCTTGTGTGTGTCAGCAAGTGAGTCACAGCTCTCTGTTAATGTGTCATAGTTTTTTTTTTTTTTAATCACTTCTTCTCTTCCAGTGATGACCAGTTGGAGGATTCAGACAGTGATGAGCATTCCCGATCAGAGTCATTAACAGGTATGAAGACTTGAACTGTCGCTGTTAGTCATTTCCAAGGGCTGGTGGTGCCCTGAATGAACCATATCTCATCTCTTTTTCTCTTCATGTTCAGCTTCCAGCCTCATTAAAATAGCGTTTCAACCTCAGACCTCTTCTTTTGATTCTGTTTCAGGCCAGCAGTCTCAGTGGGAGAACATGGATGTGAGCCTAGGGGTGACGGCGCTGAGTGTGCTCCAGCAGCCCGAGAAGCTCCAGTGGGAGGTGGTGGCCAGTGTGCTGGAGGACACGGTCAAGGACCTGGAGGAGCTGGGTGCCAACCCCTCATTGAACCAAGCCAAGGCCCACAGCCAGGCCAAAGCAAAGGACAAGGTCTCTGACCACCACAACATTCCCTTCCCTTGCCTTCTGGCCGGAGGCCTGCTCAGCTACCGCTCAGCATCCAGCACCCCCATGGCTGGACCCCCACCCACAGCCACAACTACAACACGCAGGACCACGGATGGTCCCCTAAGGACTCAGGGCCCTGAGCCCTTCCATCCTGGGCCTCTACAGGACCAGGGCCCCATGGAGATAGAGACGTGCAATCCCCAGACTGCAGCCCAGGATCAGGGCTTCTCTAATTTAGCTGGTTCCCAACCTCTAAGCCCCTCGTCTCTGCCAGCTGTGCGCAGGACTATACCTGTGCTTCTGCTGTACAGTATTAGAGAGGTGGATGACAAGTCCTCAGGGCAGGTGTTCGCGCAAATGAACAACCTAATGAGCAAGGGGCTCCACGAAGAGGGCTTCACTGTGCCACAGATTATAGAGATGGAGTTTGACACACATGAGCAGCTTCTTCTTCAGGATCCTCCCATCACTTACATTCAGCAGTTTGCCGATGCAGCCACTAATCTGGCAGGGTTAGATGGTCACATGGACAAATGGAGCACACTGGCTGCTGCGACAGTCTCCACCCCGCCTCGGCCCGGAGCACTGGTGCAGTGCTTGAGGCTGCCCAAACAGCTAGAAGAGGAGAATCTTTATGTGGACTCCATCACGCCCTGCTGCGATGGTGTGCACCTTCTGGTCGGCCTGCAGCCATGCAGTGCTGAATCTGTGAGTGCTACAAACCAAGTAGAGGCTCTAAACAATCTAAACCGCCTGCACTCTGCCCTGTGCAGCCAGCGTAAAGGAGACCCCCTACACCCAGTGGCCAATGGGGTGGAAGGCCACCACCCAGGGGGGTCACCGCCTCAGACTCCCCTGATCCTGCCCCCAGGAGACCAGAATCAGCAGAGGTCCCCAAGTGGTGGTAGTGGAGGCTATCTTGCACTCTACAAGCTCAACTACTCCACCCGTATAGTCACCTTGGACGAGGAACCCATCAAGGTGCAGCAGATTTGGGACCCTTGTGACGCCATCACCTCTCTTATATTGCTTCCTTCAGATTTGCTTGATAGCAGGGAGGATGACAGTGAAGAGGCTCTTGAGGAGGCTCTCCCCTCCGGGTCAACATCTGGGTTTGGAATGGGCCCTGCTGGCTCTGTTAGTTCTGGAACTGTCCTAGCATGTGGAGCAGCCACAACCAGCAGCGCTACTATCACCAGTCCCTCCACCTCTGCAACGACTCACAAAGAGTGCAAGCGCTTAGAGGTGGCAGGCCTGGGTCACCTTGTGGTGACCACACGGGCCGGATACATTATGATACTGGACCTGTCAACATTGGAGGTCCTGGCTAAAGTGGAGCCACCTAAGAAGGAGGGGTCAGCAGAGGAGACGGACCCCTTTGTCTCAGTAACCTATTGCTCTGGGACCGACCGCCTTTGTGCATGTACCAAAGGTCAGTGTTTCCTTCCTGCACACAGCAATGCTGTTGATGGATAGGCTGGCTTTAAGTTGCTCTGATGAGGGTTATTTTTTACTTGCTTGTCTTTTATGCATTGTGTTAACTCAGTAATAATAACAATAATAATAAGGCCCTTTCATTGACAAACTTATTGGTTGTATTATATTTTTTTTATTTAAAGGTTAGGGCTTCTATATTTGTTTTATTGTCAGTAATCCCATGAAATAATCCTCAGTATTTTTAGACTATCTCAGCTCATTAATTCCTATATATTAATGTAAAAATAATTGTACTTCTGTCAGAAAGCTTTATTATCTTCAGTAGAAGGCCTGTTGTCTCATCTATGCTGACTAAGTTTACATAATTCTCTATCTGTCTGTCTGTCTGT